CCTATCTATTTATTAGATTTATATCCTGCCTTTCTTCCAGGTGCTCAAGCGGCATGTGCTGCATTCTCTTCATTTTTCTTCTTCACAACATTATGAGGTGTATTGGGCTAAAAGAGAGGGACTGGCCCAAAATCACTCCCTGAACTTCATGGTTGAGGGTGGGCTTGAACCTGGATCTTCCCAATCCTAGTTCAGCACCTTCACCATTGCAACATATTGGCTTTGAAATTTCAATTATGACTTGTTAATCGTAATTAGTAAAGTAGCAATTTTTGAATGCCAGAGTTACTGTTCTTAATCAAAGTGGTATGTGCTCTGCAATCTTCTTTTAAAAAAAAATTAATTGTAGGCTGTTAGATTGTCTTCATAAGCATCTTTTAATTCTTTCATTATTGGAAGGTAGCAATATTCATGTATAATAAACAGCAGTTTGTTAGCAGTTGAAATTGGTGAGGTTAACACCAAACATCACATTTAGGATAAGGTTCTTGATATAGTCAAAGAATGTATGTTTGATAAGTAGGAATTGGAACTGCTGATGAATCTGTTTTTAGTTGAGAGCATTGCACAGTTTATGTTCTAAAATATTATATGCTTCATCACTACCATCCTTTAATAGCTGGTTTATAATATTATAACAGTCTCAAATGAATCATGGCCTTAGAATGGATGTCATGGGGACATAGCTAAGTGGAAACCCAAAACAGAAGAAGAGTGAAACCACAGATGAGAAGACCTCTTGGCAAGAATAACCATAGACATGAAGTCTCTGGGAGCAGCACATTACCCAAGAGGAATGTGGATGAGGCAAACGGGGAGAAGTCGCTATGAAAGTTGCCCTTAGTACTGCAAACCAAGGTATACATGTACATCACTGTTAAAGATCAAAAGAATAGACATTTTAACTCAGATGAAATTTTTATTTTATATCACACAGTCATATATTCAACACATTTGAGTAACTAGTTTTTGTTCTTTCCTCCAGTTGTCCCTTTCTCATTTAGAAAAGTGCAAATTTTACCTCTTTCTTCCCCTACCTTGTTACCTACATTGTTTCTGTAACTCAGGCATTGTTTCTGTTCCATATAGATGTAGTTTAGTGAAAGCTTGCATTCAGTGCCCTAGTTTCCAAGAAAAACAAAATTAAAGCACAAGAAAACCTTTTTGTCAGCTGTTGCTGTCATAGGAGTTACTGTCAACAATACTCTGTGCTCACTTAAAGCAACCTAATTTACCTGCAATACTTCCTTTATAACACAGGTTATAGTACTGTACTGTGATATAAGTGCTAGAGTAATTCTTTGAATTAGCAAATTAAGTATTGTACCACTTCACGTGGGTTGTTCAGCCACTCGCGCAGTGAGCTTTGATATTGTGTTTCTTCAGCACAATGTTCTCTTAAGCCAGTTTTAGATCAACTCCATCTTACTACCAGAATTTTTAAAATCTTGATCAATAAAAATCTTTGTGTTCCTGCCTAAAAGCTAATTTTCTGTTAAATCTGTGTTAAATGTTACAGTGAACTATGTCTTAGTCCATGTCGAAGTCCATATTTTTGAAGAAACCTAACATAAGATTGAATGAGAAGAATTGCTTTAAAAAAATCTTTGCCAGGTTTCTTTCAGCCTACTTCTTTTAGTAAAACTAATGAACAAAAAATCAGTTATACAGGCTTTAAGGTCTGCTGTACATTAATCTACCTTTTATACTAACAAGATAAGATAAATGGATCACCAGAAGGTGTATATGTATTTGTATAGATTTATATTATGATATGGGTGTTTGTCTTTACTGTCTAAGTAAGCTTTTTGTTCAGATCTGAAATTGGTTTGAATTAACAATTACTTGTAGTATTCTCATTTCATTCACTTGTCATCTCTTCTGTGTACATTTGAAATAAAAATTGCCTCCCCATTTAATGGGGAGAAAAGGTCTGTAGCAGATTCTTGCTTAATACTAAAAAATTTCATCATTCCCAGCTACTTCTTCCAAACACTAACTTTTCCTGTTAAAAACATTAAGACAATTTCTTTTCTTTACCGTTACAAGTTAGGGATAATTGTATAAAAGGAAACCTACTTCCTCTTTGTTGATCTTTTGGTAGAGAGCTTGTTTATGTTTGAATTAGTAAAATTGCTGAAATTTCTGAAATTTCACTCTTACTCAACTTTGAAACACAGGTAGCTATATATGAAACAATCCTACTTCAGGTTCCCCCACCAGACCTACATATGAGATCTACCACCTCCTTCAGAGGGTGGTTCTTTGTTTTTGTTTTTTGGTGCCTTCAAGTTAATACTGACTCCTGGCAACTGCCTGGACAAGTCCCTGCAGTGTTCTTGGCAAGATTTTGGAAATGATTTGTCATTGCTACCTTCCTAGGGCTGAGAGAGGCCTAAGGTCACCCAGCTGGCTTTGTGCCTAAGGCAGGAGTTTTTGTTTTTTGGTGCCTTCAAGTTAATACTGACTCCTGGCAACTGCCTGGACAAGTCCCTGCAGTGTTCTTGGCAAGATTTTGGAAATGATTTGTCATTGCTACCTTCCTAGGGCTGAGAGAGGCCTAAGGTCACCCAGCTGGCTTTGTGCCTAAGGCAGGACTAGAATTCATGGTCTACCAGTTTCTAGTCTGGTACCTTAACCACTACACCTATCTGGCTCTCCCTTTATGACTACTGCATAATCTTCTATTGCACTAATTTATCTAACCCCTTTTCTGAACCATTCAAGGTAGTGGTTGTTGTCATCTCTTTCGGAAGTGGAATGGATTAATGCACTGTGTGATGAATTCCTTTGGATCTGACCTGAAAACTTCGGTCATTCAGTTTCCATGGATTCTTCTGTTTGAAAAAAAGAAAAACCACCCATCTGCTTCCTTTTCACTGGGTGTAAAGTTACATACTTCTATCTTATCTCCCAAGGTTTGCACCGCAGTTGTTGCAATCTTTCTTCGTGGAGAGTTGCTCCACCCTGTTGATCGTTTGCTTGCCACTGGCATCATTTCTAGTTTCGCTTCACAGATGTTTTGAAGAACTGTGACCAGAGTAAATAGATTGCTTTATTCAAATAGGTGTGAAGGTATTACAATATTGGCAGTTTTTCATTCCAGCATTTCATTGATAATTTTCATTATGCAGCATCAGTCCACAATTCCTTCCCTGATCAAAACTAATCTGTAATAGAAAGTAGGGATGGTTTGTTCTTCTGTTCGTTGCTTTACTCTTTCTTACATCAATTGCATTTGCCATTTTAGAGCCCATTTCCTCAATTTGGAAAGCATTTTTGGTGCTTTTCCAACTGTATCTGTTGGTTCTAATAATCTGAAATAACGTGATGTCATCCATGTCAGTTATATTTTAGTGCTCAAATGAGTTCTGTTTGCCCATAGATTCTAGGATTTCATCTATCATGATCATTGCCTTAGTCTTTCCTTCTTGAAAAGATTAATCCAGGCATTAGTATCTGTCCTAAATAGATGCAAAGAATGCAGACCAGCTTCTCAATAGTTTGATCCACTTTTAGCATGTCTTTAATTCCTTTTAATCCAACAGTTCTACTGCCTTCCATTACAAGATTCTTGCTGCTGCTATAAAGAATTTTTAATAAAGTCTATTAGTAGTTTGCTCCTCAGACACTTTTGTTGTTTTTCTTAGCATTTCCACTCATTTCCTACAAATTTCTGTTCTTCTTTGGGCAAAAGAATTTCTGAATAAACCTCCATTTTCTCTAATGGCTTCCTTAGCATTGCTCATTAGCTACATTGGTGACCACCCTGGACTTCGTAGAATTTTTCCAGAATTATAGTAGACATTCCAGCTACCCTTTATTATTTGGAGAGCAGTTGTCTTTGGCTTTCACCTACAACTTCCATCTTACAATCTCTGAGATTAGAGGTGGCCTGAATTTGATAATGTTGTGGGTTTCTTTAACATTTTCTATTTGCATGAGATGTTAATTATTCTGATGCATTATATCTATAGTTTAGCTCATAGATATACAAGCTGTGCAGACTGCCACCAAAAAATTAGAATAACTTTTTCATTAATAATGACTACTTGCCTTGAAACATTCCCATCTCAGATTTCTTTCCTAAATCTTTTTGCAGTTTGAATTAATCATGCAATAATACTTGACTTCAGTTAGTATATTTGCTGTTCTTATTTCCTAAATAGTCCCAACAATCTATTTCCCAATTCTAATAATACACCATGTTGCTTAAGCTATGTGATGTATATAAGAGATATTACAAGGCACAGGATTTTTTAATTGAGAAAAAGATTAGCTGCTTTCTGTGCTATTCTGTGTTCTGCCTTTATATACAGTATGTGTGTCTTCTGTCATGTGGTTTTCAATAAGTAGTGAATTGTTCAGATATCTGCCTGAATAATTTCAGTTTTAAAGCTCAAAATCTTACATCTTCCACAACAATGGTTTAAAATACTGGATAATATTCTACCACTTATGATGTCACAAACTTTGGTATAAGCTGCCCGCTTAATACAAAACATAAGCATTGGCAAGATAAAGCGCTCTGTGCAGATACTACACCTGCATACCTACTTTTTATTAAGAAGAACTGAAATATTTTTGTGGTATGAGATTCTAGAATGCTGTGGACTCTTATAACAATTATTTTGAATATTTATCTTCAGATAATTCCTTTTTATCAAATGAGATAAGACAGGAGTTGGATCAAATGTCTGAAGTTTGTGTAAAGGTGAGGTGCTTCAGGCTGCAGGCAAGACATTTTAGCAATTTCAGGCACTTAAGTAGGAATTACTTTTTATGGCACATAATGATTCTTAATTGTACTGCTTCCCAAATTTTGCTTAGAATGCAGATATGTGCCAAAAAGATTAGTGATATAATTTTAAACTTGATAGCTTAAATGCCCATACTGGGGAAATTAGAAAAACACTCATCTTCAGAATTAGTAAAATCAGCAGCAATCACCAGCTTATTTTTTATTATGGGGTATAATTCAATATATTTGTATTGTGCAGCTTAAGAAATGCCAGTGGCCTGACAGCAGCAGATCTTGCACATACCCAGGGCTTCCAGGAATGTGCTCAGTTGCTCTTGAACCTCCAAAACTGCCCATTGAACCATTTCTATAGCAATGGCATCTTAAATGGGGTCCATCAGAATACTAGTCCAAGTTTCCTCAGTAGAGGGCCCAGTAGAAAACGATCCTTTGAAGATATGGACAATGTTGGAATGAAGAAAGCTAGAACTGAAGGTGAGACATTGTTTTTTTTTCACCCCAGTTGAAAAATGGTAATGTAAACTCAGACGATAAATCACAGATATATCCTTCCGTACAAAAGAGAAGTGCATAATGCCATGGCAAATCACGTAGCAGGAACCAATTGCTTCCCATTCTGCTGAATTGGTGCTGAATGTTAAATTAATCTTGAAAATCAAAGCAACATAGCATAAACTGCATAAAGATTAATTTTTTTTCTCTTCACATTTTTTATTATTCTACCCTTATGAGCATATCATTGAGTTTGTGAAGATGTAAGAAAGTTTATTTTAGGGACGTGAAAAATGTCATTTTCTAAACAGCTTGCTACTTTTACATGGCAAGTATTTCCATTAAAATTGCTAGACCATTAAATTAATCCATGTGATCATATGTAGAATTTAGGTATTGGCTAGGTATTGACTTTGTTTTCAAACTCTTTCATGTTGCCTCACAATCTATCTGATTAAACATTTCCAAGTGTAGGAAATATTGAAATAGCTCAGCTTCCTTATGCAATCTGCAGGTAGAACTATGCTGATTGTGTCAAATTTAAGCAAGTGTGTTTAAACAATATTGTTACAGATCATAAGAATGAGCTATTGTTAAGTAGCATCTCTCATTCTGAAATTATCAACATAAATCAGTAGATTCAGGTGATCAGTTTTAAGTAAAAAAGCTTCCATGTAAACAATAATTGTTTACAAACCTTGATACAGCAAATAAACATGCTGATAGGGTTCAAGATTTGCAATAGCCTGGGAGAAACTGACCAGGACAGGCTAGATTTAGATTGATCTCAAGGCTTTCATATCACAAAAAACTCAAACATCACCTGCCCAAAACAGCCCAATTTTTCTTACTAAATACAGATGCAAACTATTTTCTTATAGATCAATATTTACTGTTCTGAATATTTTCTTAAACAGATCAAAGTTTTGATGGCCTAATACCAGTGACAAATGGAGGAAATGAAGAGGATGCTGGCAATATGCATGTTGATAGAGAGTTTGCTCTTATATCAGGTGGGAGACAAGAGTTTCCTGTTAACCACAAGATCATTCACATGATTGAAGAAACAAAACAGAAGAATGATTCTGTTGAGCCCAAAGAGATTCAAATTTACACCGTTTCCGCAATGCAAACCCCTTGTCGTTGCAAGAATCAATATACATTTTATCTATAGCTTTACCTTATCGCATATGTCCAAACTTTTAAGCTATTTTATTGCTAAAATACCTTAAGGCTTCCTAACTAGCATGAATATTTGTAGAAGGTATTGTAAGATTTTGAAGGTGTTGGTTTCAGGTGTAATATATTGCCAGCATTGAGTTAAGCATGCATGCCATGTGCCTTGATCACAGATGATTGCTTCTTAAAAGAATCGTAATAGCTTAATTAACAAAACAGTTATTTATTATGATTAAATAAAAAGCTAACTGCACTGCCTTCATAGTCATGACCAGTTTTAGTATCACAAATAAAGCTCTACAAGTGCTACCAGCTTTGTTCCCAAGTTATTCCATATACATTAAAACAAACATATTTGTTTTTAGCTTGCTGCCAATGTTAGCTGAATTAATATCAATGATCGATTCTCCCAAATTTCTATTTGAAACCTAAAGGAATTTAAATTGTAATCAATATTTGCTTTTCTTTCTCAAGGATGGGTACTTACATTTGAAATTCTCCCAGCTCAAAAAGGCTTATTCAGGGCCAGGCTAAATGAGTTAGTAACTATATGGATTATGACCTTAAATTTGGGGTTTGCTTTTAATTAATCCTAGGTACAAATGGGTAAGAGTGTTTTCATTGGGAATAGGCCATGTGTAGTCTGTTCTCTCCCCCCCAGTTCCCTTTGGGGAAAAAATAAGGGCCAGTGGAAATTGGGATGGAAGTATCTACAGTTAAATTCATCAAAAATATTCTGACATGGCTGCAAATCAAGCAGTAGCTTATTTCTCAATCACATCAGTGGAAAAAGCAACTTTGTAATACTGTTTGTAAAAAGCTTTTTCTCCCTCTATGGAGTCATTGGAGAAGACTCCACACATTGATGGGGTCAACGTGTGCTATACTAGTTGCTATACTAAACACAAGATTCTGAATCACTACCCTAGAATGGTAGTAGTTAGCATTTTAACAGGACTCCTGTTGGTACAGTGGTACCTCGGGTTACGAACGCCTCTGCTCACGAACTTTTCGGGTTATGACCAGCTCTGGCCGCAAAAATTTACCTCGGTTTGCGAACTCC